GACAGATACAAAGAAAGGACTCCTCGCAGTGCATAGTTCAGCTATGGAATTCCACTTCAGCCATCAATGAATTCATCTATTCACTTGGCTTTGGATCGGTCTCAGTGCCTTTTAACTAAGTGCCTTCTCAACCCTTTTCTGTGCCCCCCTCCACTGCCACAGGCTGTGTGCTGGGCCACTGCTGTACTCCATACCAGCCTACTGAATAAGAGGTGGCATCTGTTTTCTTCCAGCAATGGGAACTTCATCTCCAAAGCCCAGGCATCAGATTAGGGGTTAATTGGGTGGGGTTTTTCAGTGTGCACCTTTTCAAGCATTTTCAGTGCTTTTTCAAGCTTTACTTAATAAATTTGGCATTTAATTGTGTTGTTTTTACCTTAAATTATGTGTATTTGCTGTTTAAGTTTATTGAGATGGGTGTTGTTCAGGGTCTGCAAATGGATTAATTCACTTTCCATTATTTCTAGTGGGGAGCATTGTTTCGGACTTCAAACAATTTAGTGTTCAAATGGCCTCCTGAAATGAACTAAGTTCAAAATATGAGGCACCTCTGTACTTAGTAAGTAAAGCTGAATGGTGGCCAAATCTTCACTCTGAAGTCTATCCAGCCAAAAAAGTAAAGTAACAGAACAGAACAGAACCAAAACTATCTCAGAGGAGAAAGGCTTAGGTACAGGAAGTGGGGAGAATGGGTGGAAGGAAGAAGCAAGGAGGAGGGCTGTTGAGAGGGGGAGGTATTAGAAAGGGTTGAAGAAGGGAGTGAGAAATGGGAAGTGTGAGGGACTGTGTGTTCATTCTGGGTATGAGAGAGTAAGTTGCGGGGGGGGGGGGACAATCCTAAGAAAGAGGGGAACAAAGGGAAAGTGTGGGAAGGGAGAGAGGAACAGTGTTGGGGGTGACGGGGGGTAATTCTGACATGAAGGTTCAAAGGAGTAAGTTTGTATTTTGGAGCTCAATTTTCCTAACTGTGAAATGTATGTTTTGTGACTGGCCACAGCCACTATGACCACCATTTTGTGGCATTATACTCACAAAATTTCAAATGTCCCCACAAGCTTATTGGTAATATCTGTGGAGATGTAACATGAACAGTGAGCAGATAAAACAATTCTTCCTTTGTGTGCCAATGGAACATGACTACAGCTTGATAAGGAGGCTGGTCCAGTATGTAATCCAAAATCAGCACGGTATATCATCCAGAACTGAGAAGGATAACTACTATGTAAACTGGGTAATAACTTAAAAATAATAACCTATCATCAGAAGCAATGTGTCGTGGGCTCAATTTTATCCAGTCGTATGACACAAAGTACACTGTCTGCAATTGTCAAATGAGAAGGGCAAAATCCTTTCCCTAATTATTCACTTAGATAAGGAGCTACCCATGGGGAATTATATTGCTCTATACACATGCCTAGAATATCAGCAATATCAAGTTCCTCCATCTAACACTACCCTACTTATCATAACAGCTGTTTTGTTAGCTTATTTTTAAAAAAATATTTAATAATCTGAAATACAACAGTTGTCATTGTTAGTCGTGAAGTCGTGTCTGACCCATCGTGACCCCATGGACAACATTCCTCCAGGCCTTCCTGTCCACCATCCCCCGGAGTCCACTCAAGCTCACACCAACTGCTTCAGTGACTCCATCTAACCACCTCATTCTCTGCCATCCCCCTTCTTCTTTTGCCATCTATTGTTCCCAGCATTAGACTCTTCTCCAGGGAGCCCTTCCTTCTCATTAGGTGGCCAAAGTATTTGAGTTTCATCTTCAGGATCTGGCCTTCTAAAGAGCAGTCAGGGTAGATCCCCTCTAGGACTGACCGGTTTGATCGCCTTGCTGTCCAAGGGACTCGCAGGAGTCTCCGCCAGCACTACAATTCAAAGGCCTCAATTCTTCGGAGCTCAGTCTTCCTTATGGTCCAACTTTCACAGCCATACATTGCAACTGGGAAAACCATAGCACTTTTGTTGCGCATAGCACTTGACTATACGCACTTTTGTTGGCAGGGTGATGTCTCTGCTTTTTAGTATGCTATCTAGATTTGCCATAACTTTCCTCCCCAGGAGCAAGTGTCTTTTAATTTCTTGGCTGCAGTCCCCATCTGCGGTGATCTTGGAGCCCAGGAAAATAAAATCTGTCACTACCTCCATTTCTTCCACATCTATTTGCCAGGAAGTGAGAGGACTGGATGCCATGATCTTAGTTTTCTTAATGTTGAGTTTCAAGCCAACTTTTGCACTCTCCTCCTTCACCTGCATTAAGAGGCTCTTTAGTTCCTCTTCACTTCCTGCCATGAGAGTGGTATCATCTGCATATCTGAGGTTGCTGATATTTCTCCCAGCAATCTTAATTCCAACAGGTGATTCATCTAGGCCCACTTTTCTCATGATGTGTTCTGCATATCAGTTAAATAGGCAGGGCAACAGTATACAGCCTTGCCGAACTCCTTTCTCAATTTTGAACCAATCAGTGGTTCCGTGCCCAGTTCTCACTGTTGCTTCTTGACCCCCATATAGGTTTCTCAAGAGACAAATAAGATGGTCTGGGACTCCCATCTCTTTAAGAACTTGCCAGAGTTTGTTGTGATCCACACAATCAAAGGCTTTAGCATAGTCAATGAAGCAGAAGTAGATGTTTTTCTGGAACTCCCTAGCTTTCTCCATGATCCAGCGTATGTTACAACATACAACAGTAAAATACAACAATACAAATTCAAAAACTGATCAATAACAAAAATATAAAGAAAGAGGGGAAAGAGGAAAAAAACTATAAAAACAACTAATGTACCCCCCTCCACTGAAATCCTGGCTATATAATAATTGATTAATAAATTCCTCCTTCTCCTTTACTTCTGTAGTTCTCCTCTTTCAGAACTACCCCCTTCCATCCAGAATTACATAAATTCATCTGAAGGTTTGATACACTTTTTAAAATACAGTGGTACCTTGGCTCACAAACTTAATCCATTCCACAACTCTGGTCGTGACCCAAATTGGTCATGAGCCAAGTCAAATTTCCCCATAAGGGTCAATGTAAATAAGGTTAATCTGTTCTGTAACTTTTTTTTTTAACTCACAAAAATGTGAAGCCAAGTGACAAAGGACAACAAAGATCGCGGCCATCTCCCCCCAACCCAGCAATTGTGGTGGGGGGGTGGAGAGAGTCGGGCGCGATCATGGGCGTGCTGGGGAGAGACAAGTGCGATTGCAGGCGCACTCGGAAAGGAAACACGGGTGCAATCGCGGCCATCCCCCCCCCCACCAGCACGACCACAATCGTGCCCATGCAGGGAAGGCAGGCAGGTGTGCTCGCGATTGTCACCTGATGCGGAGTTCATGACCTGCGGCAACATTTTTATGAAATTTCTGTTCACAACCCTATTTGGTTGTAAACTGAGGTGTTCGTGAACCAAGGTATTCAATAAACAAACCCCAAATATCATTGAAATGGTTCTTATTTGTCAGCCCCTTTTCACCTTAGTTCCACACATTAACTTATCATTAACAGGCTATATTCCAGATTTCATTATGCTATTTCATTATGCTATTCACCTATCTGGAAGTCCTGTTTCTTCTTCAAAATTTGTGCTATTATTAATCTTTCTGCAGTTACTAAATTTGTTATTCTTTAATATTCCATTTCTTTTCATAAATTATTGACAATGCAATTTCACGCTCTGCTTCAATATCTTGCCAATATCTTTCACATTCTCACCACATATGGAAATAAGTACCTATGTTTTTGACCGCATTTCCAACATAAATTGGAGTATTTACTATCCATTTACTATAGTTGCACTGGTGTCAGGTACCATTTCCATACTATTTCATTATGCTATTCACCTATCTGGAAGTCCTGTTTCTTCTTCAAAATTTGTGCTATTATTAATCTTTCTGCAGTTACTAAATTTGTTATTCTTTAATATTCCATTTCTTTTCATAAATTATTGACAATGCAATTTCACGCTCTGCTTCAATATCTTGCCAATATCTTTCACATTCTCACCACATATGGAAATAAGTACCTATGTTTTTGACCGCATTTCCAACATAAATTGGAGTATTTACTATCCATTTACTATAGTTGCACTGGTGTCAGGTACCATTTCCATACTAATGTATACATTTTTTCCTTAATTCTAACTGACACGCTTTTCAGGATTCTCTTATCCCATATTTTCTTCCATTCTTCCTTACCTATATCCCTCCCTTTTTATCTATTTCCCATGAAATCTTAAGAGAGTCATATTGGTCTTCACTTATTATCCCTCTTGTTTGCATAGTCCTGTTTTTTCCTATATAAAATGATCTCTTCAAATTTGGTAAGATCTCTACATTTACCATTTTTCTTCATTCATTCTGTAGTCCATTGTTCTAGTCGTATAACATTAAACCAAGTTAGTTTTTCTATCATAGTACCACCTTTATCCTTTCCTTGCTATCCATTTTCTCCAACCAATCTTTTAACCTAAACATTAGCTTTTGCTTTAATACTTTTCTCAAACTGCCTCTCAAATTTTCTGGAAATCCTTTTGGTGAAATTGGTGGCATATTTTTTTCTCTGTATTTATCTCAGATTTGCACCATATTTTTAAGAAAGAGGTTTTCTATCTTTCTTACAATCTTCTTGTCATCCTGTTTAAAAAAGAGATTCAGAAGGGATCTCTCAATTTGCTGTTGTTCTATTTTTGCCCATATTATCTTTTCAGGCTGCAATATATCTGGTATATATCTTATTTGATTTCCTATATAATTTAATATTCAGAATACAAAATCCTCCCTTTTCTATGATTTATACCATCTTTTCTTGTTAATCCTTGCATTCTTATCTCCATTACAAAATTTATTCATCATGTTTTTGCCAATCTTCCAATTCTTGTTTTAATACCTTATTCAGTAACATCCCAAATAAAAAATATGGTTAGTCTAAAGGGTTATTTAGTTTACAAGTCTGTTCAAGAAAATAACAACTCATTCAAATGGAAGAAACATACCTATGAGAGGTTCTTCTCTATCTGGATCTTTCATAAAATCTTTTAGACATCTTATATTTTTTGACAGTGGTCTTTTTACTAGGAGAAAACAAATTTGTATTTACATGGGATAAATGTAAAATAATAGAGGTTTGTCGCTTTCAGCCTACAGAAACAAAGAATATATAAGAGGCTGATGGGTTGTTCAAAAGTGTTACAGAAGAGAAATCAAAGCCTTTTATGCATCTTTAATTTTAAAAATTAAAATAGGATATAATATGTTCAAAAATCAAGGCCAAGGTGCTTGAAAGAACATTGAAGCTGGAACTCTTCTAGCCAGAAGCTGCTGAAATTAGCTAATGCAGCAAACTAATTACTCCACACATTCTAGGTCATGTTCTGAAGAACCCAAGTATAATTGTGTTGGAAAGACCTAGCCCTCTGTTTCTCAACAGACACCAATCAGATACTCCTGGGAAATTCATCAAGTAAGGTAACAATGGAGATTGCTATGTTTTGGGAACAAATAAGAAATGACAATCTAAGATATACTATTTTTAAAAAGTTTGACTCTATTTGCATTATCTTGTCAAATACCCCCTGATAAGGTGTGCTAATTTTAACTATGAACCACCAGACAGCCTTCTGGCTGTTGGGCGTAAAGAAAAATGAAATAAATAAATAGCCATTAGCTAACTATCAATGCTAGACAATCTTATAATATCCTGCAGTAATACATTCCATAAGAAAACCAGGTATTGGCTTAATCTCACTGCCTATACATTTAATTATGATTATGGGTTCTATAATTTTGGGAGTAAATGACTATGATCTTGACATACACTCCTTCCACTATTTATACATTATTATTATGGCCCTTTTCTTCCAGCTTCTTTTAAACCATTTGAAAAGATCACTGTGGCTATAAAAAAATCATCCTGTTACTTATTCAGTATTGTTTACTAGTATTCTTACCCGACATTGGTTCTTCATACGTCTCTGCAGGACCTAAGAAGACACACTAATAGTTATTGTTTTCATATTAACTATTAATATAGCATACAAAACCATTTCTTCTGCAGACACTCAATTCTTTTCCCCCATAGTCAAATTCTTGGACTGCCTCTGTCATTTGTACTTTATATGTTGATGGAACTAGAAAGCTTTGTCTGCATTTCCCAGCATGTGGCAATCTAGCCATTACATATACATCGAGTTAACAGATGTGCAGAGTTTCCTTACTGCAATTTTGTCTCTCTTGCCCTTTTCAGTTTTTTTGGAGCTGGAATGACATCCTTACAGTTCTACCTCTTAAGAGTTTCACAGAAATTAGTTGTCTGAATGGAGTTAAATTTCTTATTTCCTCAGTGTATTGCCTTACAGAAATGCTGCCAACATAGAATACTGAGTAAGAGCAAAAGTTTCTCCTTGTTCTATGATAAACTTTTTGCTCAATTAAGAGTAACCTTGGTTCTAGATTGCTAACATCACATGGAAGCTGTTGGAAATGCTTCCTGATAACAGATTCCACATCCAAAAGCTTGTGTCAAGAGTGTAACATTTCCACAAAGACTTCAACAGCTGCTAGAAGACATGATGCTGCAATAACTATTCCATGGAAACAACACATATTCTGAAAAATATTTGCAAAATTATCTCATTCTAAGCTGCCACTATGCAGAAGCATTTCCAATCAGTCCTACAAGGTTGCTACAACTCTTGTGCACACATACTTGGAAGGATGTGCCAATGAAAACAAATTGCAATTACTTGTATTTTAAGGTCCAACAAACATCTGTAAGTTGCATTGTTGTTATCAAACACAGAGGATTCAACTTAGATGAAAGAAACAATCTTTAACCCAACTCATACCCATAACTTGTGTTTCCCAGTCTCCAGGAAGACTTGTTTACTGTGGTGGGTGGAAAAATATCTGAAGAAAGGGAGCAAAGATAGAGGTAGACTATATCCCTTCCACCCACACCCATCCTACAATACTTTTCAGTTGTTCAGTGGCGACCCAGAGTCCCTGACTTAGATAAAAAATCTAGCTTTGGCACTTAAGGTGTCTACTTCAATAATTTTATCACATTTGTAATATGGACAACAGCTGCCCATGCTGTAATCAACTATTCTCAGAGCTGAAAATCAAAGGTCAGAAATCTTTTAATTTTGTGATGGTGATTCTGAGTTTAGAAAAATGAATAGAAAAAGGATAGTTTAAATTTAATAATTCCTAACCCAAGTAAGAGCCATTACAGCCACAAGAGAATGTTTAAAAAGGATTTACACTTACATTTTGTTTTCAGCATTCTCTCTCTCTAAATAAAGGTGCAAGTGTTCCCAAAATAAAATGAGAAGATAATTATTAGTGAGCTGCCCTGATCTCTCCCCACACCACTTCTACTTTTTTCTTTTTTAAAGTGTTACCTTAACTGTAGCTTCTGCAGACAAATGGCAATGAAGGTCAACTTTTATTGGAAAAGAAAAAAGTACTGCCTTCATGATTTTCTGCAAAAGCTAGAGAGTACTGAAAAAGGAATCTTGATTCCAAGGTTTCAAAGTAAATCATCACGGTGCTTGGTTCTTGCAAGAGACAATGCTTAGGGAGATAATTTTAGGGACAGCATGCTTAAAATCCTGATTTTTGCACTATTACAGCTCCTACAATACTAGGAGCTGAAACCTCCCCAAAAATCAAGATTTTGAGCTACTTGGTGAAACCTGAATAGTCAGGTTTTCTGAATTTTCTGAAAAACTAGAGTGAACAGGAGTCAGGAGAGGATGAAGTAAATTCCATCAACAAAACAAGTTTGGGCAAAAAGTAAACTAGAAAGACGAACTGAAGTGTCCAGACATTGGAAAAGACACTAACCACAAAACTGAGAGGTCTCATTTAAAGCCATCCAAGAACCTTGAAGTCATTATAATCTATTATTTTCCAACAAGTTTCTACATTTCATATTTATGGTATCTTGATCATAACAATCAATGGGAAGATTTACATAAAACATTGTTGATCTATTCAGTTCCAAAAAGGAGATCCTTCTTATCTTTCAGACTGTAAGAACATCAAAATACTTATCCAGCAGCCAAGCAAGGATAAACAAGGAGAGTGGGAATTTATAAGAGGAATGATAAAACTGAACAAAGAACATTGATTTTAAATCTTCTCTTTGTTCATACTTGGCCTTTCACACTTCATTTTTCTTATCTGTAAAGGTGCCTGGCCATTATTATTATTTTTTTTGCCAAATCAGATGTTTCAGAACAATGACATGTACCTTGCTGATTAGATATTACTGTATATGAAGAGTTTGGGCTTTACTGCAAAATAATTTCAGATATAGATGTATATCTATCATCAGTGGCTCAATGGGTGAATAGAATAGATATTTTTTCCTAAACCACTTCAATTTCTCAATCAATTGCACATGTTTTACAACCTCAGGTTACATGGACATTTAAATACAGAACTAGAATTAGCAGATTCTCTTAAGTTATACTGCCATTACTAAATGCCTAAATGATTATTAGGTGTATAATCCTCAGAATGCAAGAAAATGTAGTGTTTCTGTTTGGAACCAAATTAAATACCAGTGACAGAATGCAACTAAATTTTTCTAGAAATTCACTTTAAGTATTTAATCAGGTGACTAAACTCTTGGTTTAATTCTTATCTAGAACCTATTCAATATGAAGAATTTAACCTGGAAAAATTATACTAACATGAAAGGAGACAGTCTCCTGACACCTATCCATATGAAAATGTCTATAATTCTCCTTAATTCAAGGGAATATCTGTGAGAATGAAAACGGGATAACTGTCTTCAAAGATGGAGACAAGAGAGACTTCATTACTTTCACTCTAAGAACAAGTCACAAGGACAGCATCTGCTTCACATGGCACTACATCCAACTCTGGTTGCATCTAAAGCTGATGAAACATCAGGTGGTGGTCTACAAAAGGTCTATCCTGAAAAGACTGGCTAGGGAATGAGAGATCATTTTTGCCCTTTTTGAACATGGTATTATGCAACAGAAACTAAATCACACAGATACACACATACAAAGCAAAGTTGCATTTAAAGAACAAATTAAGAGAGCAGCACCTTCCGCAAGCATCTCAAGAAAGAGGAGAAAAAAGACTGTTTGTCCTCTGGCAAAAGATAAACAGAATAAAGATGAAAGGAGACAGACCAACTAACCCTGAACCATCAGAGAACATAAAAAGTTTACAAACCAGAAAGCCATCACTGGCTGATTGAGCATCTTGAAAAATGAACACAGCAGCACAGTCTTTACTGTAATGATCTGAAGATGGCAGTTGACTCAATCCTGATACCACTGAAAAGGATCCAAGTGAAGTTTACACTTTCACTACTAATTCAAAGCAAGAAGTCTGCCTCACACTAAAACCCACTGCTCTAAGAGGACAATACTACAACCGTTTATTTATGGTTTATGCAGGTTTTGCTGATGATTAAAGCTGTGAGAAAATTTGAAGTTAAATCAGGTTGTTTTCTTCCTCGTTTTAAATGATGGCTCTAAAATATCAAACACAGTAAATAATGCTGGGAGTATGAGAACAATAAAACAAGGAAGATGCCATTCCAAACATTCAAATACCCCAATAAAGGCAATATCCTTTGAGAATTCATATGCAACCAAGTTTCTCAGCTATCTCAGTGCCAAGTACTATCTATCTTCTCATGTTCATAATTGTACTTACGTGGAAGTTATGTTACCAAAAGCATCCCTTAAAAGCTTCTGCAATCTTCACCATTTGAAAATGACCAGGAAAAGTAAACATCATATATTAATTTATGCTGAAATCTTTCCACTTATTGCATACTTGTGGAGGTCTTGTTGGTCTGATGATCCCTTTAATTCAAGGTGTACAACAGCAGGCCAACATTTCCATTGTTACAAATCATTCTTTTCTCCATCACATTCCTTCATGTCCAGCCTTCAGCAATAAATCCATACCAATGGTTAAAATGTATTTATACTGATGTTTTGATATTTCATGGCAATGATTGTGCCATGTGGCTGCAGTAACATAAGACAAAGTCTTATATTAATCAACTTCTTAGAAGAATGTTGTTCCTGGAACCCTGTTATTATATCCCAACTCTCTGGCTATCACAGACAGAAGGTAAAGATCTGCCTGTCTCCCACAGGTCACAGTTATTATGCTGGTTTTGACATATTTTTTGAAGCGTCATTCTCCTGAAATTTCTGCAGTCTTGGACCAGCTCCTGAAATAATTAAAAATCCTGAGTACTTCACTGGAAATCTTCACCTTTGATGTTGATAAAAGTAACTGATGAGAAAACAATCACATGGAATGAAAATTGCAAGGAAGGAGTTCAGTGCTCATAATCCTTTGTCAAAATTATCTTCCAGTTACTTTGATTTTAACAAGATAGTATAAATTACAATTGCAAGGAAACCTAAGTTAAAAAGGTAAATGTTCTTCACTTCATTCAGAAGAAGCAGCCTTGTGATATAATGAAGGAGGAATACAATCTACCACAGAAGCCTTACTTTGTCATAGCAATTGGCCATTAATGGAACAGAAAATGGATTATACAAAGAAGTCAGCTCAAGGAATCTCCAAGAAGATTTAGCTGATATGCCAGCCATAAAGTTCAAAAGTATTTTCATTTGTGCAACAGTTATGTAAGGGTTAAGCAAGGACAGAACAATAATAAACAGAAATAAAGTCACCATGTAACATTTAACTGACAGATGTATCAGATATTTGCACAGCTTGCATACAGCATCTGGCAATTATGTCCAATGTAAGCATTTCTAGCAAGAGAAGCATTCAGCTGTAAAGTGTGTGCTTTAGAATTGCTTTATTGACTTCAGGTGTTCATAGGCTTCTGAGGTGTTCGTAGAGAGAAGGGAAGAGCACCTTGGTCCAACAGCTGCCCAAAGGCAGTGCTACCTACCTATCCACACATTACTATATGATCAAGTCTAGATTTATAAGTTTCAGAACAAAAAGTGACAAGAAATTGAAGAGAAGGGGAGAAATCCAATAGCACTGCCAAATAGCAGTATGGCATCTTAACCTCCAATTAGAAATGCTACAAAGGCAGATGTTTCTTATCAGGTGGAAAGAAATCATTAGTCTTCTGTAGCTTTAACAAAACTGCACTGCTTTTTTTAAAGGCAGGTTGGAGACTGAAGAAAGTAGTAAGAAAATAGAAACAGATGAACTTCATATATTTAATTGCTGGTGTCAAAAGAAATGCAGAAGAGTTTCAAAGTCCTTCCAGGACTGAAGACTAGATAGGACATTCACATTGCCTTGGTTAGCATTCCAAACTTAAATGAAAGTATTTGTTAGTTCTCACTCAAAAGAAACAATCCTTTGTCCATCTGAAATTTCTTCACAGCAGTCAGAACTTCACAGTTCTAATTCCAAATTGGAATGTTATGCTGGAAAAATTATGTTCAAGAACATGGACAGCCTTCAAATTCACCAAAAGAGAAAATCATATTGAACATGCTGATATCTGAATGTTCACAGTTCTGCAACACTGTTGTTTTGTTTTTGGAATTTCTATGGGTTTTAATAGCCTCTAAGCATTTTCAGTGAAAAGATTGAATACTCAATTGCAGCCCCCTTCCTCACTGGCTTTCTTTAAACTACTTCTCACAACTACTCATATATTAATTATTAGCAACAAAAACAGAACTCTTAAGTATAATTGTGTGAGTCTATGTCCACCATTCATAACAACCAATACTGGTCTTAATTCTCTTCAAAAATCTTCCTTCTACAAAAACTCACTAATTATCAACTATTTTTATTATTTTATCCTTGACCATTTTTCTTTTCTACAAATATAATTCACTATATTCCAAAATCGTGGGGCAGAAAACAAGAATGCAAAGACATATAAAATATTTGTTTAAAATCTTGCTTATTTTCAGCCACTTAGCTAGATATTAAAACTTCAATAATCCAAAGCTTAAGCCTTTAAAACAAGGAGACCTAATAATAAAGTCTTATAACACATTAGAAAAGTGCTCAAGCACTTAGGACAAGGATGCAGTACCTCAGCCTTTGGGGCCACATGAGGCAGCAAGGGGAAGGGAATTTCAGAAAACATGGTGGAGGAAAGTTTAAACCCTCTTTATCTACACATGTACTTTACAGTAAAATAAAGGGAGAGTCAGCTGTAGGCCACTTATATAACAATTTGTGTAGTTTAATCCAAAACATTTTGGGATGATTAATTTGAATAAATAAATAAATAATCTTGAGATGGGATTCAAGAAGCAACATTCAAGGATGGGATCTTGCTATCAAATCAAGTACAGAGATGGCTTTATTAATCTCAAGACTACAATGGGAGGTGACCCATCAATATACTATTCATGGTTTTATAGGACAATCAGCAAGCTGAAAGTTACCTATTCTAGAATGACTTTCTATCAATAAATGAAAGTAGAAGTTAACCTTCTTTGATCATGAAACATATCTGAGAAACAGAGATGGCTGATATTGAATAAAATACTGCAAATTTGTGATCAACAGCACAATGTTGCTTAAGTTAACAAAGTGCATACTAATTTTCAGGCTGACTGGGGATTTAACTATTTTCACTGCATATTTACAGTGAACTATTTTCACTGCATATTCACTGCATATTTTCACAGAAAGCACAACATTATATAGCCAAATGTGTTTTAAAGCAGATGCTACAATTCAAGCTATTTTCTTCAAAGTAGTCGGATTTTTTTCAATGAAAGTGTTTCAATAGGAGGATGGAAATTAGACTGTCCATACCAAGTTCAGAAACTGGATTCTGTATTTTGTCTTAATGATTTCACCACAGTATATTTCATTTTCCTAAAAATTCAACACTATTTATCATACAAATTGTAAACAATTTACTGTAGGAATAAGAAGAGCAAACTTATTTTAAAGTATTAGTACAAGGATCAATCACCTTTTTATGCTTTATTCCAGCAAAGTGTGTCTGGAGTGTCATAGCGCTCATACATGGAACTTTACAAATCTAAAAAAAATTAGAAAAAAATCAATTATACTTTACAGGGACTAAAATTAGATACTTAAGCATATCAAACAGATATACTTTCAAACTGCAGACATGTGATCAGTCAGAAAGACAACCAAAACTTCTTTGTATCACTTCCTAGTAAGAGTTTAGGGTGAGTTTGGAGTACAGTCTAGAACAGCGATGCTGAACCTTTTAGAGACTGAGTGCCCAAACCGCAACCCAAAACCCACTTATCTATTGCAAAGTGCCAACTCTGCAATAAAAACTGAATTCTAAGATTTTAATTTAGAAAAAATCAACTCATATATTATCTTTTGTCTTAAAAGAAGAACACAACAACAGAGCTTTCAATGATACAAACAGCTTTTTATTGAAAGGTAAAATGAAGTATCCAATACAAATCTATCCCTATACCAAAAACAGCTAGCACTGTTGTTGTTGTTGTTATTAGTTGCGAAGTTGTGTCCGACCCATCTCGACCTCATGGACAACACTCCTCCAGGCCTTCCTGTCCTCCACCATGACCCGGAGTCCACTTAAAATCACACCAACTGCTTCAGTGACTACATCTAGCCACCTCATTCTCTGCCGTCTCCTTTTTCTTTTGCCATCTATTGTTCGCAGCATTAGGCTCTTCTCCAGGGAGTCCTTCCTTCGTATTAAGTGGCCAAAGTATTTCAGTTTCATCTTCAGTATCTGGCATTCTAAAGAGCAGTCAGGGTTGATCTCCTCTAAGACAGACTGGTTTGATTGCCTTGTGGTCCAAGGGACTCGCAGGAGTCTCCTCCAGCACCACAGTTCAAAGGTCTCAATCCTTTGGCACTCAGCCTTCCTTATGGTCCAGCTTTTATAGCCATACATTGCAACTGGGAAAACCATAGCCTTGACTATACGCACTTTTGTTGGCAGGGCGATGTCTCTGCTTTTTAGTATGCTGCCTAGATTTGCCATAGCTTTTCTCCCCAGGAGAAAGCGTCTTTTAATTTCTTGGCTGCAGTCCCTATTTGCAGTGATCTTGGAGCCTAGGAAAATAAAATCTGTCACTACCTCCATTTCTTCCACATCTATTTGCCAGGAAGTGAGAGGACCGGACGCCATGATCTTAGTTTTCTTAATGTTGAGTTTCAAACCAGCTTTTGCACTCTCCACCTTCACCCGCATCAAGAGGCTCTTTAGTTCCTCTTCACTTTCTGCCATGAGAGTGGTATCATCTGCATATCTGAGGTTGTTGATATTTCTCCCAGCAACCTTAATACCAACTGGTGATTCATCTAGGTCCACTTTTCTCATGATGTGCTCTGCATATAAGTTAAATAGGCAGGGAGACAGTATACAGCCTTGCCAAACTCCTTTCTCAATTTTGAACCAATCAGTGGTTCCGTGCCCAGTTCTCACTGTTGCTTCTTGACCCACATATAGGTTTCTCAAGAAACAAATAAGATGGTCTGGTACTCCCATCTCTTTCAGAACTTGCCACAGTTTGTTGTGATCCA